CAATCTAACTGAATTATCACTTTGAACAAACTTTCTCTTTTATTACTTCAATGTCATTATATCTTCTCGATAAAAAGCACTATAAAGAGAAACAAGATGTGAAAGATTTAACTTCTATATAGATATATAGATATGTATCATAAGCATCAAATAAATGTGTGATATACGTCGGGCAAAAATGTGCACTATATGTATAATGTGACACGATGCGCAAAGTGGTAACGTTATACTATCGCGTAATATACGCCTTACTTCCAATTCCTTTCTGGGAAAAGACAATGTCAGGTTCCGTTTTTTTTTGCATTTCTGCATCAAGTATATGCAAGCAAGATTAAATAATTATATTAAAAATCACAAATCTCTTTCTCTCTGAAAATTTATGTCGGTTGGTTCAGGTACGATCAGAGAAATATCTCGTTTCTATTCTGTATCCTATTCTACCATTCGTGTATCGTATTACACTGTTAGATATCCAAAGAGAGAGAGAGAAAGAGAGAGAGAGAGAGAGAGAGAGAGAGAGAGAGAGAAATGGTAATCCAATCCCTTGAGTTAAATGACATTTTGTTATTTTTAACTTCCATGTGTATCAAATGTAAATCCCTTTCTGTGGTTGAATCATTTAGTTTCAAAGCAAATGTTCAAAGCAAATAATAACGTATGAATTTATTGTAAATTAAATTTGAAAGAGAATCAAAGAACTCCACAATCCAATTTTCCATATAATTAGTGCGGAGCCCTTTAATACATTTCTTGAATTAAATTGTTTTAATCCTATTGTTTTAGTTAAGTTAACACAGTATATTGAATAAAAGCAGTGGCGTTCTATAGAAATAATTAAAAATCACTTATATTGGATTTAATTTGACATTATGAACGTAATAGTTAATAGCGTTTATTTATTTGTACAAACGCCTGTGCAAACAATTTTATCTCTAAACCGCTGGACCATAAAAATACCACAATTATTGGCGCGTTCCGAGGAATAGTTTCACTTAAATTCGAAGTTAACTAATGTCTTTTCCGATCGCGATTTCTTACCAACTTCTGACTTGCGGTCAAGGAAGTTTGTCGCTTTTCTTCCGTGACTGAACTTCTGCCACGCTATTATTTATCACTCGTGGCGCACATTGCTACGAAAAATCACGATAAAATTAGCTTCCAGACTGCACTTTCTTCGACAGCACCTCTCAGAGCTGTCCGTAATCGAGGCGCGCGATATTTCCTCCCTGCTGTCCGTTATGTTATACTTTCCCTTTGATTTACTACCTATCACATCTGATCAATACTTCATTTGTAATAAAATAATTTACAATCGCCATTTCTATTACACAATTCAACAATAAATCACCTTTCCTCTCTAAAGTTATATTCTCTCCATAGTTATACATATTCCAAATATTCTTTTCGCGTTAAACACTCTTGACATAATTTGCATAGTAGTTAGGATTTTAAATAATTGAGGTGAAATGAACAAAAATGGCGCTTTTAAAAAATTTTTTCTTAATGAATTATTATTTTTGTATTTATTTACATGCATACATTCTCTCTTTCTCCCTTTCGCTTAATAAAGTTGTCTTGTTTTTGAGTCCAAAAATATCCGTTGAATCATGTTGTCTACGCTTTATCTCTCACATCGCCTATTTCTGCAATCGATAATTCCGTTTTCCGAATATATCCGTTATGTGATTAATTTGAATCAAGTTGCGTGAACTGCTCATTTCAGAATGTTTAATTTTGATATTCTCGAATCTCTTTTGCTCGTCCCACGTGAACCGAACTTAATTTTTCCGCCAAACACATTAGTCCGACTCGAGTTCGATCGCGTGTATTTACTTTTGAGTTAGTCACGCATTTATACACGAAAAGTATGCGCGTTCTAACATCAGTCACGTCGCTAATTGCATCTTTCAATTACGACGATTCATCGAGTAATTAGCGTTCTATGTTATTCTATGTTTCCGAGGCTGAAAACCTGGGAGTCGAGTCCGACTCACGGGAAACCGCGTCTCAGTCATTTAACCACCATCTTTCTTTTCTATGAGGCAGAAGGGACTAGGGGAAAGGAAGGTGGCAGCTCATTAGATGGTGATTAATTTTCGGCCCGACGCTGCGCACACATAATCGCTCGCCCGTGCTTTTCCTCGTGGTTGGCTACTTCCTTTATTTTCGCACCGACATCCGGTCGCATTACCGCCCGCGACTTCCGCAAGCGAGGAAGGCTAGGAGAAAAGGGTAAGCCCATTCATTAAGTATATCTACTAATAACGGTAGTACGAGTTACCGGGTCACATGTCTTGATAGCATGCATCTACACGATCTGTAAATTTGACGATACATGGAAAGAATAATTTTGTTGAAGTATCTAAAAATTTAGCTATGTACAAATATGAAAATAAATTTGTTAGTCTATCGAAATAACCTTTTAAGAATCTCAAGCATGATGAGCAATGTTGCATAAAGTTTTGACATTCTATCAACCAATTCTTTCCGCACGCATATGTAAAGATGTGTTCATGGTGAAAATAAAAAAGAATTGATGAAATGAATTTTCTCGATCTTTAAGCATAACCATAGCGGGAAGAACCGATGTCACCGAAGAAGGCAGCGCCGATTTTCAAAACAGATTATAAGATATCAAAATCCTTTCTAATTTTTTCATTCTATTAGTCATTTCCTCATTCGATATTTTTATTGATACTGAGTATCCTACTTACATTTGCATAGCGATGTATTTCAATAAATCTTCTTTAAAACGTATACTGAATGAGTTATTAGTAATAGAAAATTTATTTTACTAATTTAAAATCTCTATGTATTAGCTATAAATCTTTATATATTAGCGTAGAATAACATGATTTTTCCTAAAATTTAAATTTATTTAATATTTTTAATAAATACGATAATATAAATAAAAAATATATTTTAATAGTTTAATAGTTTATATTTAATAGTTCTTACAATCTATATATTAACTTTTCATATACGCACACATATTTTTATTTACTCTAGACACTCTAGGTCTTTTCTGTCCAACCCAAATTTTTTTACTGTGTGTTCTAGCTTCCAAAGCTTCCAAAAAATTTAGAAAAGTTCAGGATTACTTTTCAACAAATGTTAAAATCTTTATTCAACAAAAATTAATATGTGCCAAGAAATTTGAGAGTAAAATTTCTAGGTAAAAAAAAACTCAGTGTACCATGTCTACTTAGGATTAATAATACTTTTCTTATTCATGCTTTATTGATGCAAACTGATTATGACCTGGGTGTTTTTTTATTATTTAGCATTACGAAGAAGTAACGCATTGCTGATTTCTAATGATTTGATTCATGCACATTCCATATGCATAAGAAAAATAAACAGGATATTCCAGACTGCCTAATCTTTTATATAAATCTTTTATATAACTTTAGATTTCTTACTCAATTCAGAAATAATATTCATCTAATATAAATAAAACTCTGTTATTGTTTCTTATTTATATTTAAGTACTAGCTTATGTATAATCAATTCGTTCAGAAGATTTCATAAATAATGAAATCTTTATTTAATAATTAATATAAATTTTAGAAATAATTTTTATATAAATCCTACTTTAATAAAAATTTCATTGCTAAGATTTGCGGGGTAGAATAATAAAATTTGCGTACATGAGCAAAGATTCTCTGTACATAAATCACGACAGAAAATTACGTTTAAAATGAATTGTTAATGAATTTTATCGATATCTCTAAGACCTTAGAAATATTTGAAATTATCTCAAAGATAAATGGCACCTTTAAAACAGAATCGTGAATATCGAGATTCACCGAGAGATTTTATGTATTGCGAGGGATCACGATAAGCAACTACAACTTTGTATATTGATCCACTCGTTATCCTTGACGTATTCCCATTTACATTCTCCGCTTGCAATAAGGAAATTTTTATTCACAAAGTTCCTTCAGAAGAAGCATGCTAATTAGGACACTGATTGGAATCAGTGAAATCCCGCATCAACTCATGTACTTCAAGCACAGTGTTAGTAATAATCGTTACTTAATTGTCGATTGTAGGATTTTCCATTATAAAGATACCCGTGTAATTTATAGTTCTTACTACAATTCTATATACAGGATTATCACAGAAAATGAATTTGGAAATTTCCTTTTCCCAAATTTTCTAAACGAAAATTGTTTATAAAGCGAAACTTTTGATAATAATTTATTTGTAAATAAAACTTGATTGGAACAACTCAGAACTACCGCCAGAAATGCTGAAATTAATCGGTATGACACATTTCCGCCAAGTGCTGGTAGCTATAGTTAAAATTGTTTAAAAAATATTTATAAAGCGCAACTTTAACAATAATTTATTTGTATAGAACTCAAGCGAAACAATGTCAGAATTATTGTCAAAAATACTCAAAATTATCGGGGACATATTTCTGTGGAGTTCGAATATTCTAATCTGTGTAAAAATTATTAATACTTGGAATTTTGTCCTGAAATATCATATAATAATCAATTTAACATACTATGTCTACGTTATAGCAGTACGCAATGGTGAAGGGAAAGATGTTATTAAAGAATATGACTTCACATATGTAAGAATGGTATTCGTACTGTAGGCTGTGCCCATGTCATGTCGATCATTTAATATCTAGGATATGCTACATACCTTTTTAATAATATACGAATACTTTCTAAGCATAGCAATGACATTTGTCATATTGGACAGCTCTGATGATGAACCATCGAATGAATAAAATGACATCATTAGAAGGTCAGAACTACTGTCAGCGGGGGTTTGAGGATTTAAACTTACTTTTTGTCTTGTAGTATATCGATCTATTGTAATTTTACTCTTATTATTATTTTAATCTTAATTTGAGTATTATCTACGTATAACGAAAATTGAGATGATGACTTAAGTGGAAAAGGGAAAAGAAAAAGAGAGCAAATCTTTGAACTTGTATTGAATTCCATGTGATGAAACACTATGCTAAGAGATATACTCACGTGTTAGATTTAATTCGTTGCTCGTTGTAGCTGCGATGAAAGTCAAGTAATTCCTGCACCAAACCAACCTCCATCATGCCATCGACTCGGTCATTCAGTCTGTTATCGAGGATCTTCTGCAAAATTTCGAGAAAAGGAGAGCTCCCTTATTAATTAAGCATGACGACATTGATAGAAATCGTCCGTTATGCAATTATTCGATTCAATCGCGTAATATTTCAACGTAACTGTTTTACCGAGATTCTGGGCATTAAATATTCCATCTAACGACAGCGCGAGATTCTTTTTCACGATTCATCCAAACTGAGTTTATAATAAATAAACGTTTTAACAATCGACTTTACTCGCCGAGAACGAGAAGCGAACCGCGAAGAACAGGAATTCGTTCAGGTAAATAATGAAATCTTTATTTAATAATTAATATAAATTTTAGAAATAATTTTTATATAAATCCTACTTTAATAAAAATTTCATTGCTAAGATTTGCGGGGTAGAATAATAAAATTTGCGTACATGAGCAAAGATTCTCTGTACATAAATCACGACAGAAAATTACGTTTAAAATGAATTGTTAATGAATTTTATCGATATCTCTAAGACCTTAGAAACATTTGAAATTATCTCAAAGATAAATGGCACTTTTAAAACAGAATCGTGAATATCGAGATTCACCGAGAGATTTTATGTATTGCGAGGGATCACGATAAGCAACTACAACTTTGTATATTGATCCACTCGTTAAACTAATAACCTGTCACAGTACGTATCCAGTATGAATATGATCATTCTTTTAATGTTATGGATTAAGCGTTGTGACATGAATGAATAGAAAAGAGTGGAGAAACTGCGAACACTTAAGGGAAAAGTCAAATAAAGTTGATTATTTATCAATTATATAAATCTTTATTCAAGAGATACAGGAAAGGACAGTGTTTTGCTGAAGTATTTAATAATTTAGCCAGATAAAGATCAGAAAATAATTTTGAAGTATCAAAATATACAGGATATTCAAGCTGGTTGATAGAATATAAAAATTGTTTACAGCACTCGTCGTACTTTTCTAAATAATTATTTTGATTTCAACAAAATTATTTTCAAATCTGTAAATATATTTTCAGATCTAATTAAATTTTAGATTTTAATAAAATAGTTCTTCACATACAGTTATTTGGCTTTAATCTATTATACAATAATAAATATTATCTTAAATGGCATATGCAGTTTGGCATAGTCGTGTATTGTAATGCAGCTCACTAAGCTCCGATTATCAACGTTATTTTGACTTTAAGTAAAGTTTAAAACTCTCTTTTTCTCTTTAATGCTGAGAGAGAGAGAGAGAGAGAGAGAGAGAGAGAGAAAATAAACAGAGTTTTAAGCCTTGTTTCAAATCAAAGTAACATTAGTGCAATCGGGTCTAAAAGTACATTGGATGCAAGAAGTGAATCATCAATAATATACTGTAGTAGTTTACATTTACCTCGTGTTTGCAATTCCTCCACTTTACTCTATAAAAATTTAGAGTTTAAAACAAATTAGCAGAAATACATTCGTAAGTAGAACGTCGAAACGCAAAAGTGCCCTGGTATTTCGTAGGACACCTATCGTTCCTATGATCAGATAAGATACGAATTGGAATCATATCGATGACTACATATCTCTCGTTAAGATCACGATCCTGCTGAGAAAAAAAAAGAAGAAAAAAGAGAGCAATCGATATGTAGACTCAATATATAGGCTCAATATCGAGGACGGTCCTTGCTATTAATTAACGGTTCAACGACACTGAGAATAATCGACCATTCTGTTAGATAAGAAAAATTCGTTGGCCTTGGTAGCTATCCAAGTTTTGCAATTGTTCTTCTTCCACATGACCTTGCTAATAGCGAAAGCGTTAGAAGGTGACATGTCCTCGAGCCGGCTAACGTACGAGATTATACTGACAAGCCGGTTGTGCATGTGGCCGGTTTTCGAGTAGTTTTAAGCACGAGCGATACATCAATCTGACATATACGATTCACGAAGTAGACTTTGTACTCCTGTTTATCAGCGGTTTAAACATATCGATGATGCGGAAAATATCATTGAAAGCGATCGCGGGTAACGACACCTGTGCCATACTTCGAGGATAACAAGAAAAGCATTAATATACAGAGTGTTTCAGGACATTACGAACAAATTTTAGGGAATAGTAGATCTTATCAAAAATACAACTTGTTGTTGAATTTGTGTCTTCCGATGTATTTTTAGCCCCCGCCTCTTCCTCCCCCTTTTACTTGTTTTATCTTTTCGCAAAAAACAAAATCAAACATAAATTGATTCTTTTGGGTGCTTTTAGTGAAATATACTATTCCTTGAAGTTTGTCGTGAAACATTCTGTATAATCGCGTAATTTATTTTGTGTATAATCGAGAAATATCTTTTGGATTTACAACATGGCCCGTTATTCTGAGAGATGCACGAAAAAATAGTTAAACGCGCACACGCAATTGCACATAAAATTCAATGTCAAATGCTGTTGTCCGTTTCTGCGGTTTAATAATCTAATACACCATAAAAGATTGATAAATGAAAGCGTGTAATATGAATCAGAGAATTGCATTAATCGCGCAAACGCAGAGTTTTTGTTACGAGCACAGTAATCACGGAGGCATGAGAGATTTTATAATAATAAAAATGTTGCTTCCAATTTTAATTTCCTGTTCCTATATTTTCGCCGTGTTCGACCTTGGTCAATGTCCGAGACAAGGCTGAACTAATATTCTATAGAGCATAAAGTATAAATTAATTAAATTTCGCATTTAATAATCCTTACTAATGAATAATACTGATAAATGGTATATAATAAATTATATCAAATAACAGATAATATTTATGTTATAGCTGAATACAATTAAATAAGCGAATGTAGAATGCCTGCTACAGTCGCATCGTGGTAACACAAAGAATCGAAATTGGCTTGCCGTAGTTGCTGACGTAATTGTAGACACTCTTAATTAAATAAGTGTTTAACGATCGAGCAGTTTCGTATCACGATATTGCGCGAATCGCGAATTCAAGATATAATCGACTTTCCAAAATTAGTCGCATTAAAAAGTAAATGAACGAACTGGCGAATGTTTGATTATAAGAATGTTGAATGAATTACAGATGTTTTCAAAATAATGAAAAAAATTATAAACAAATTACGAATTATTCTAAATCACACTTAAAAGTAATATAAAAAATTTAATGGCAGTTTAGAACATAAATTAACAATTAAGTCAAAAAATAGAAGTGTTTTTATCTCTTTTATGATGGAAATATAATTAAGAAATAATTAAAAAATTTCAATTTTTTTATATAAGTACTTTAAATATTTAATATAATTTATGTAAAATTTTATTGCAATACGCAGATTACTTGTTCTATAAATAAACAAAATTTATTTATTTATTATAGAACAAGTAATCTCGGTAATGAAACTTTGTATAAATTATCTTAAACATTTAAAATATTTATATAAACAACTGAAATTTTTGTTATTATTTTTGTAAAACAATTTAATTTTAAATAACAAATAAAGTAAATGAACTATAAAAATGTGTTGCATTAAATAAAAATATTCTTTACACAATTTTATATATAGTTTATTTATAGTATAAATATTAACACATTTCCAATTTCAATTTACTTTGCAGGGATTGTATGATACATCCTTAAAGATACAACAGCAAACATAGAATAGAGAGTGTAAGCATGTCTAAGACTTTGCTTTGCGCCATCGTGTCTAAGACAAACAGCTACGATATTTGGAAGCGTTTTTTGCCTGATCAGGGCACTGAAATGTCGAAAATGTTCGAAGTTTCGATGCCTGTGAGACTATGTCTTGGGAAATATAACGTGTGTTTCGTTAAATACTAAAAATTATCGCTTTATTAATTCAGACATGAGAGTAACATACGATAAAATAATTTCTAATAATTTCCAATAATAATTTTTAATAATTTTTAATAATTTTTAATTTCGAATAATTTTTAATTTTTAATAACTTTTAATCATTTCACCATTATTTATTAAACAGATTTATTAGATAAAATACTTTCATACATAAAAATCGAAGTATATAAGAGTTTGCAAAAATCTACATCAGGGAAGACTCGCATTAACTATTTGTCAATATACGAATACCGGGATGTCTATTTCAATTTCCTACTAAAAAAATTTGATGGTATCCGATTAAATATCGACAAGCAATTTTGGATATATTTGGATAATTTCATATAAACTCATTAATTTAAATATTTGTGAAAAAATTTTGACTTTGTGGCATTAAACCTGGCTACATACAGAGTATTTAGTACTATCAAAAATTTTTTTTATATTTAATTTTAGAAAAAAATTTTTAGATAAAAATGGAACGCGATTTTAAGAGGGACATTTTGTGATCCACTTTTGTTTAAAACATTTTTTCTAAAATTAAAAATAAAAGTTTTGGGGATGATAAATTAAAATGGATTACGCCTTATAAAGATATAATATTACGATATAATAATACGGGAAGCTGAATATCGACATATATTTTGTATTAAACAACTTTAAATTTGAAAAATAGGAGAGATTTAATTAGTATATTTATATACACACACACATGAGGTGTAAATCAGACCGGATTATCTCTATGCGAAACACCTTGAATAATGCTAATGCCGGTAATACTTGAACTTTATCAATCTAAATCTCGAAAAGTATTTAACCAAAAGAAGTCTCATTAAGATCTTGATGCCACAAGAATATTAAATAAAAAATAGAAGTTCCCATTAAAAATTTCAAAGTTGACTTTGAGAGCTTCTTTATATGTGCTCAAGATTAAATAAGTAGTCGTCATCTAATGTAGTTGTTAAAATCCTACAATTTTTGTATGTTTTTTTTCTCAAATGTCTTGTTTTCGAGATATTTTATTGATTCGATTTTTATAGCTGTAGAAAGAGGAAAAGTTATTTAGAATATCGATCATTAGACAAGGCTATATATTATTAGAATAAGTCTAGAAACAGTCTTGAAGGATAAGAAATAATAGGGATTTATAATCTGTAGCGAAATTCCATAGTATGTATCTGGATATCCTGAATATATTGAT